ATGCTTCAATAATTAGTCCATCTCAAGTAAAGAACGGGATTATGTGGTGAAGAGTAGCATGAGGTCCTAGTCTATAGTTTGATTTTTTTTAGGTTGTAGACATATTAATCTTGTGTGGTTGCTTGGGGGACAGTTGTTCCACCACTACAAGTGTACAACTTGTCATAGTTTGACATCAATATATATATGGATTAATCAAGTCTAGAATCTATTTATAGTATTAACTTACCATTCTATGTTTTGTTTGTGTGTTGCTTGCTACCTTTTTTGAAATAATCACCTCATTGGTGTGAGTAGAAAGAGATGATACAGTGGAGCAGGCTCTAGGCGGCAAGATGTAGCGTTGTTCTAAAGTAGTTAGTTCCTTTGGTTGTTTTGAAGGAACCTTTTTGGATGTGTAGACCATTGAAAGTTAGAGTGGTGTATATAAGAATTTGAATTGTAGTTATTTTAGATAACTGTACAAATATTTTATATACCTTCTTATTTAAATGTTCTAGTTTATTGGTTTTGTGATGTTTCCTTAATAATGTTTTATACTATTTAAATAATTAGTGCTGTCAAAATGGGTTGTAACTCGCGAGCCAACCCGGCCTACCATGAGTTTGAGCCGGGTTGAGTTTGAAAAAAATGTAATTTTTTTTATGTTAGTTAGTTTTCAACCCGGCTCACTTATAACCCGGCTCATCGGGTTGAACCCATGGTAGGCCAGGTTAGCTCAACAACCCACCTAATTTAATTTAATTATTTATTATTTTGTGTTTCAATATCATTAGTTAACATTTTTTTATTATATTGTAGATGTGATAAAAAAATGTTTCAAGAGAGAAAAATATTATAGATTTATCTATTCAAGACTGTAATATTATATATAGAAAAGTGATACAAAATTTATCAATATTAAAAACTTATTTGTTCGCGTGCTTGTTTTTTTATTACGCTTGGATTGTATGATATATATACTTTTTTATTTTGAATTGTCTTTGGAGTTAAAGTGAAATTTATTTAAATTTGAATTAATAAAAATTATAATTTTTTTATTTTAAAAACAAACCTTATAATTAAGTGAGCTAGTGAGTCAACTCGTTTTATCCACCAACCCGTGATGGGTCGGGCCGGATTCAAATTTTTTCAGCTCGCTAATAAGTGAACTGGGTTGGGTTGGCTCACTAAGTGACTAACCCGTGATGAGCCGAACCAGGTCGAGTCGGATTATCCATTTTGACAACTCTAGAAAATAAAGTCACACTAGTAAAAAATCTGCTTTTTAACTCGCCCTATAGGCTTCGGTTTAGGAGAAACCAAAACCTATCAAAACGTGGTGGCACTTTTGTAGTTTAGGCGAACTTATACGCCTCGGTTCAAGGGGACCCGAATCATATAAGGCATATTACCTCGGTTGATAGTAAAACTGATGCCTAAAAGCCTACCTTTCCACCTGACAGGTCTGAAATTTGAAGAGTGCGTAGAGCCTATGGCTTCGGTTCATTCAGAACCGGTGCGAAACCATGTTTATACCTCGGTTTAGCGGGAACCGAGGCGTATAACCATTTCATTTTCTTTTAATTTTTTTCTGAGGACTATATGCCTCGGTGGAGAGTAGAACCGAGGTATATATGAATGTACTGCTTTTTATGAGAGTAGAACCGAGGTAGTATTGCTTACCTCTCGTAAAAAAAGATAACCTACAGTTTTCCCTCTTTCCTCATCCCCTCCTTCCTTTCCCGCAACCCTTCCCTCCTCCACTCCCCTCTCCCTAAACTCCACCATTCCCTCACCACCCTCTTCTCCCTCTACATCCCCCAAAACGACCTTATTTACCTCCTCACTACCAACCCCTCCATCCTCCACCATTCCTCGTTGTCCGTTTGTTTCCTAGGGTTTTGGCGCTCAGAAGACGTGGTGGAGGCCGCTGTAGGACCCCGCGGCGTACCCCAGGACATTGCCCACGGCCATGAAGAAGGAGAAGAAGGTGTTTGTGTTGCGCATCTTGCGGTGGTCGCTGGCAGAGAGGTCGGCGAGAAGGGCACGGTAGGGGCCCTGGAGCATGTTATTGGCCATGTCCAGGATCCAGAAGCCGACGACGAAGATGGCTTGGGTCTTCTTTCCTCTTGACAGAAACAAAGAGAGCAATCTCCCTTCTCCCACTTGACAGACACGACGCGGGGAGGCTCTTTCCTCTATTGCAAAAGCTTGCGCTCCGGCGAGGATGACGATGGTGGCCGGCGTCGAAAGCGGAGGGGAGGCACGATGGTGGAGACGAGTACCGCGACGACGATGATGGGAGGCTCGCCGATCTAAGGCATTTGGCGAGCAGAGAAGATGGTGTCGATGGTGCCACAGTGCGAAGAGAAGAGTTGAACGAAGTTCCTTGGCAGTGACGACGATGGCAGATGAAGATGACGAATGGAGACGCACCGGAAGAGCATTGGTCACAGTGGTTGTGGTTGACAGAGAAGATGGAGATGCATTGGAGATGATTGACGATGAAGATGAAGGGTGGTGATTGGCGTGAACCTGGTGACGGCGCCCACAGCGGTTGGCGACAGTGGATGATGGCAACAGTATGGGAGGAACCACAGATAATGGGAAACCCATGTCTTGTATTTTCCTTTATGATTGGATTCAAAAAGGGAAATGAAAGAAACTTGAATCTGATTGAATCAAATTTTGGCCAGGGATTTGTCTCTATAGGTCTGTTTGATGCNTTCAATATCATTAGTTAACATTTTTTTATTATATTGTAGATGTGATAAAAAAATGTTTCAAGAGAGAAAAATATTATAGATTTATCTATTCAAGACTCTAATATTATATATAGAAAAGTGATACAAAATTTATCAATATTAAAAACTTATTTGTTCGCGTGCTTGTTTTTGGATTACGCTTGGATTGTATCATATATTTTTTTTTATTTTGAATTGTCTTTGGAGTTAAAGTGAAATTTATTTAAATTTGAATTAATAAAAAATTATAATTTTTTTTTATTTTAAAAACAAACCTTATAATTAAGTGAGCTAGTGAGCCAATCCGTTTTATCCACCAACCCGTGATGGGTCGGGCCGGATTCAAATTTTTTCAGCTCGCTAATAAGTGAACTGGGTTGGGTTGACTCACTAAGTGACTAACCCGTGGTGAGCCGAACCAGGTCGAGTCGGATTATCCATTTTGACAACTCTAGAAAATAAAGTCACACTAGTAAAAAAATTGCTTTTTAACTCGCCCTATAGGCTTCGGTTTAGGAGAAACCAAAGCCTATCGAAACGCGGTGGCACTTTTGTAGTTTAGGCGAACTTATACGCCTCAGTTCAAGGGGACTCGAATCATATAAGGCATATTACCTCGGTTGATAGTAAAACCGATGCCTAAAAGCCTACCTTTCCACCTGACAAGTCTGAAATTTGAAGACTGTGCAGAGCCTATGGCTTCGGTTCATTTAGAACCGGTGCGAAACCATGTTTATACCTCGATTTAGGCGGGAACCGAGGCGTATAACCATTTCATTTTTTTTAATTTTTTTCTGAGGACTATATGCCTCGGTGGAGAGTAGAACCAAGGTATATATGAATGTACTACTTCTGTTGAGAGTAGAACCGAGGTATATATGAATGTACTGCTTCTGTTGAGAGTAGAACCGAGGTATATATGAATGTACTGCTTCTGTTGAGAGTAGAACCGAGGTAGTATTGCTTACCTCTCGTAAAAAAAGATAACCTATAGTTTCCCCTCTTTCCTCATCCCCTCCTTCCTTTCCCGCAACCCTTCCCTCCTCCACTCCCCTCTCCCTCAACTCCACCATTCCCTCACCACCCTCTTCTCCCTCTACATCCCCCAAAACGACCTTATTTCCCTCCTCACTACCAACCCCTCCATCCTCCACCATTCCTCGTTGTCCGTTTGTTTCCTAGGGTTTTGGCGCTCAGAAGACGTGGTGGAGGCCACTGTAGGACCCCGCGGCGTACCCCAGGACATTGCCCACGACCATGAAGAAGGAGAAGAAGGCGTTTGTGTTGCGCATCTTGCGGTGGTCGCTGGCGGATAGGTCGGCGAGAAGGGCACGGTAGGGGCCCTGGAGCATGTTATTGGCCATGTCCAGGATCCAGAAGCCGACGACGAAGATGGCTTGGGTTTTCTTTCCTCTTGACAGAAACAAAGAGAGCAATCTCCCTTCTCCCACTTGACAGACACGACGCGGGGAGGCTCTTTCCTCTGTTGCAAAAGCTTGCGCTCCGGCGAGGATGACGGTGGTGGCCGGTGTCGAAAGCGGAGGGGAGGCACGATGGTGGAGACGAGTACCGCGGCGACGATGATGGGAGGCTCGTCGATCTAAGGCGTTTGGCGAGCAGAGAAGATGGTGCCAATGGTGTCACGGTGCGAAGAGAAGAGTTGAACGAAGTTCCTTGGCAGCGACGGCGATGGCAGATGAAGATAATGAATGGAGACGCACCGAAAGAGCATTGGTCACGGTGGTTGTGGTTGACAGAGAAGATGGAGATGCATTGGAGATTATTGACGATGAAGATGAAGGGTGGTGATTGGCGTGAACCTGGTGACGGTGCCCACAACGGTTGGTGACGGTGGATGATGGCAACAGTATGGGAGGAACCACAGATAATGGGAAACCCATGTCTTGTATTTTCTTTTATGATTGGATTCAAAAAGGGAAATGAAAGAAACTTGAATCTGATTGAATCAAATTTTGGCCAGGGATTTGTCTCTATAGGTCTGTTTGATGCAGGGGAAAAGTGACGACGCGATTTGGAGTTTGATGGAAGAACGAAGATGCTGGCTTCTGATGGAAGGACTATGCAAGAGTTTGATGGAAGGACTCCCCATCAATGCATCAACATCAGAAGGAGCTTTCAAAACTGGATCCAGAATTGAAGCTATGTCTCCTGACTTTATCAGAGGCACTGCCCATTGAATAATGTTCCTTCTTCATATTGCATGTCAATAGCTTTTCTGTCGCTCAGTATCTCCAAAAGTAGAACGTCAAAGCTGCATACATCCAACTTTGTGGTGAGGTAATGGAGCTTGTAGTATTCAGGATCAAGATAGCCAAGAGTTCCAGCTGGTAGTTCAGCCACTGGGGAGCTGCTATCTTCAGGACCAAGCAGTGACAAACCAAAATCAGCCACTCTCGCATTGTGTTCTTCATCGATGAGAATATTTGAAGACTTTATGTCTCTATGAATCATAGGTGGACAAGCATAGTCGTGCATATATTCGATTCCACGAGCTGCTTGCACTGTAATTGTCACCCTTCTCACTCAATCCATTTGCTCTTTCATCACTTTGTTGCCATGAAGGTGTTGATGCAATGAGCTATGAGCCATGTACTCATACACAAGGAGTCTCTCTTCACCCTCCTCACAGTAGCCTAGTAGATTGAGCAAGTGTGTGTGGTTCAACCTAGAAAGCAAGTCAAGCTCGTTGTGAAACTCCTTGGAATTCTTCTGCATGTTGGGATACACTATGGCCCTTTTAACGGCAACAACAGTGCCATCTTTGATAACCCCTTTGAACACACAAGAGAAACTTCCCTTCCCCGCTATGGACTCCTCTTTGAATCTATCGGTTGCTCTTTCAAGTTCCTCGTACGGGAACATTTGTGCTCTCCTAATCTTGAACTCCTCCAAGTCTGGTCGGACCTTAGATTTCTCCTTCTAGTGTGACGAACTCCCTCTTAGTTTCTTCCCCTTTGACCCTCTTGCTGAAGAAGAACACTGACAATCTCTTAGGTTGTAGCGAACATACAACACGGCAGTATGAACACAATATAAACAAAGAAAATAGCAAAAGTTATCTCTGCAATACTGCCTCGGTTCAGAGGAACCAATGCATAAAGTCCTGTGAAAAAATATTAAAAAAAAAATAAAAAATACTACTGTTTTGGTTAATTTTGAACTGAGGCGAAATCCCCCACATTTTTGCCTCGGTTCACAACCAAGGCATATTTTATGCCTCGGTTCAAGAAATGCTGCCTATAGACGAAAATAATCATTGTCGTTTCTCCTGACTGCACTAGTGTCATTAAATATGATATCACAACTTTTACATTTCTTTACTTATTTAATTTATTTTTAGTTTATGTTACTAATTTTTATACCTATATTAATTTTATCTAACTTCTCTAATTATTTTTACTTCATTCAACCAGATAAAATTTATTAGTTTATTTATCTATATTGAAATAATCTTTTTACTCCCATTACATCTATAAAATCTTTAGCTTTTAATGTATTTTACATTGCCATACTTATAATAAAGTCACTTTAATTATTTTTACTATTTCTTAGAATTCTTTTTTATTCTACTATTTTTCTTCTTGGCACACATGTTTTATCATAAAATTATAAAATAATAAAAAATATTAAGTTTTCTTACACCTTTTCTATCCAAATGCTAATTTATTGCAATCACAAATATATATTTTGATTGTATTAAGTATGTATTATATATGTTCCTTTTAAGTCTAAATTTTTTTAAAGGAAAATTACAATCTAAATTATACTTATATTATATGTTATTTTAAAGTATGTACTTTTTTTCTAAAATTCTTTCTTTGATTTTCTAGAAGACTTTTTAAAAATGAATATCTTACGAAATCATCAAATTTCAAAAGAATGGTGATTAATTGCAACCATCTTTGGATTGAGATAGCTCCAATAAGTTTGGGAATGATCTCTGAGTGAGGAGGTATTCGTTTTCCAACGTTTTTTATATATATATATTTATAAATTTATATATAAATAAAAATATTTTTTTAAATTTTAATATATTATATATTTAGTATTTAATATATATATATATATATATATATATTTAAAAAATTACATGTTTAAAATATTTCTTTTTGGAGATCCACCACTTAATAAAAGTACACCATGTTCTCTACAAACAAAGTTAACTTTTTTGTTCTTTTATAGGTTAAACCCCTTTAGTTGTCTCTATTTTTGTGGATTTTTTCTAGTTTGATCCTCGTTTTATTAAAATTGTCAATTTAGTCCTAAAAAATGCTAATTTGAGTCAATGAGTCACTGCCGTTAAATTGGCTTAACGGAGTTAAGTTTTTTATGAGAAAGGACGTTGACGTGGCCAGTTTTTGTCACATCACTCCTGCCACGTCAGCATCATCTTCCATAATAAGGGAAACCCTAATTCCCTCAAGAGTGAAACCCTAGTCACCGCGAGCAAACCCTAGTGTCACCACCGTAAAGCCGTTGTGAAGCCTTCAGTCTCGCCGTCGCCAGCTTGCTGCGAAGCCTTCAGCCATCGAATGTCGACATCCCGTAACATCCAAAATCAAACCCCAAATCTGCAAGAGAACCAGATCGGAACAGAAACCACATCGCGGCCAAGTGCGAGCACCATCACGCCAACCAGAAGCAAGAGAAGACCATATCTGAACCGGAAAACCTAAACCTCTTCTCCCTCTTTCGCAAGTCACCATTAGTGGTAGAAACCACCACCAAACCCACTGTCAGTCACACATTCAACCTACAGGAAACCAAAAAACAACAAAACGAAGGCCACCACTGGTCGTGCCTCTGTCGTCGCGAGAATGAGGACTATTGTGACGTAGCGCCGTCGTAACT